GGGGGGCCTGAATAAGTTTTTATGGGAATTCTTCACAATAAACATAGCTTGTAACTTGAGATTTACAAATCCATCATTCTGATTAGCCATGAAATACACAGGAAAGAGGAAAATGGAAAGTGGGAAGAGCTCATATCACTGATATGGAAGGTTTTAATAGAATGCTTACTCTGGTGACCTTCTCAACATAGATATTAAATTTAGAGTCCAACAAAAATAGAATCATGGTACTTCTGCCAATAAAACCTTTCCATACATCCATTCTTAGTTGATTTCAGTACAGTGGCAGTCACTCATTGCCATCCTCACATTTATTATAACAAGTAAAGAAATGAAGTATATAATTCTTCCAAGAGAAAAAAAGCAGTCCCTTATACCATTACTGATGAATTCATGACTGATAAGTCTCTCTTTAAGCATCACTCAAGAGACCCATGCATGCTAATTGTAGCAGTCAATCTTGTTAAATTACATTACTAACTATACATTTTTAAGTATCTGTGCTGTTTGTATATTTTGATAAAATGTTGTGACTTAATGACAAAGAGGTAGATATGTAAACATGGAATAAAAGAAAGAAAGAGAGATGCCTCTTAATAGTTTCTCTACTGCCCCTGCAAAAACTTGGTTCTGTCATGGCTATCATCAAGATATAGCTGGAATTGAGCTGATATTTTAAATTTGAGGAATCAATAAAAATCCCAAAGTGGGGAAGAAACTCTGATAAAACTTAAGTCATTGGTATGTTGTTCCTCTTGCCCTTCACCACAAGACTCCTTGAAGGGCTGGTAATCACGGTTGCCTCTACTTCTCTCCAACCTCTCTCTCCTGACATTGCTTTCTTGAAGGGTTACCTTCTTGCCAGTCCTTGTGGAATGTTCTAGGTCCTCATCAACCTTTCTACAGCTTTTTATACCAGGAAAGAGCCTCTCTTTTATCTCAGCCCCTTGGACACTCTGACACAGCATCTTCTTCTTCCATCCCCATCATCTTTGATTACCTCGTTGGCAAGCCCCTTTTCCTCCTTCTGCTCCAAATCACTTCCAATGCCCCCTCCCCTCCTTGCTTTCACTTCCCTTGGTTCTCTCCTTCTACCTCCTATCTTAAGGCTCACTCAATACAATTAATCTCAAAATTCACATCTCCAGCTCTAACCTCCCTGCTAGGCTTCAAATAGGCTCCATTAACTATTCTATGTTCTTACAACCTTTATCTCTAATGTATTTCCTATTTCTGTTAATGGCACCATCACAGGCCCAGTCATCCAGGCTCAGAACCTCAGTCATTATTGACTAGTTGACTGTCCCCTCTCTCATTTTTTAATGAAATTATTATGATTCTGCTTCTGCAATCTCTCCGAAGTACATTACTCATCTCTACTTTCTTTCCTACTAATCATGCCTGGATCAATCTCCCCATCTTAAGTCTGTCTCTCCATTTTAATTCACATATACAACCTATATTATAAACTTTTAGGTAAAAGTAACTTTTCCTTTACTCTCTTATATTAAATTCCTGGAGCTTGCAAATTAAACTGACAAAAGACATATTAGCAAGAGAGGTATGATGTTATTTACACATCCAGTGCACATACAGGTGGGAGTGCTCAGTGATGAGTCACTCAACGGACTGGTTAGAATTGAGGACTGAAATACCTAACTTAGCATGAAAAAAGGAAAAGAAAAATGCTTCTATGGGAAGAACAAACAGGTTTATTTAGGAAAGACAAATGGGGTTTCAGAAGGACAAACAGGAGATAAAGTTTTTGATAATGTTTGAATGGTCTTTCCATCTTCCTCTGGGCCATAACTCCTTCAGAGATGGGATTACAGGAAGTAGGTTTACCCTTGGTCTCACTCCTGGGAACAGACCCTCACCAAAGAAGGAATTTATGGTGGTCCTCGTTACTCTGAAGTTTTGGCTTGTAGTCTGATAAGAAAAAACCCAAGAAGTCCTTTTCCTGTATCTGTTGAATCTTAAATGTCTTTAGCTAAAATGATTATTATTTATGAAATATAGAAATGTTATATTCACAAATCAAAGGTTTTATTCCGACACACTCATGTTCAAAACCCTGTGTAATCTACACCCATTGTTTACTACCTCTGGGCCTTCCCGAGATGCTAGTTTTTCTGCCTCTAATGCCCATCCCTACATGTTCAATGTCTTCCTGTCTCTCGAGATCCAGTTCAGTTGATGGGTCTGTCTTGAGGTATCCCCCCCTCTCCTCATTGTTCCCCCACCTGAGTTGGTGTATCTCCTTCTCACTTCTCTAAAGTCCCATCTTATTGCTTTTCTCTGTGCTTTTCTCGTGGCACTCACCATTTTCTATCCAGTTGTAAAAGAGTATGCTTTGACTCTCTTTCTAGGCTGTATCCCCTGAGGCAGGATACCTGTACAATTCATCTGCATATTTCCCACAATTCCTCTGTATATTAGTGCTTAAGAGAATTTGGGGAAAGTAAGTCAATAAATGAGTGCACTGTGTAGTGTTTGAATGGTGGTCCCTCACAAGATAAGTCCACCAGGCACCTGTGAATGGGACCTTATTTGGAAAAAAGGTCTGTGAAGATGTCATAAAGTTAGAGTTGATCTTAAAGACAGCCTGAATAAAAACAATTCTAATATTCTATATAAAGGGCATACTCTTTGCTTCCTTCTAAAACATTGTAATAAGACCAGAAAACCATTCAGGCAACCTGTTATTCATTAGACAGTTTTTTGATCTCCAATCAGAAAAGCACTCAATAAATATGTAATGTGCACCTATGTACTGGAAGTACCTGGCTTGTCTTCAGGATCTCCTAAAGAACTCTGCAAATTTTCCTCTCTTCTCCCTAGTCCACATAAGAGGAGTGCTACTCAAAACACCAGCCAAAGTTTGACAACTGCAATTGACAGAAACATGATGATTTTATCCACATGTTTCTCTCCCACACACCAAGAACATTTTTCTTAAGTTATGTCAGTGTTCCTTGAGCAGTTCCCTGGAACTGCCTTTAGGGTTAATCTTGCTGTTTCCGTCTACTGTCTTCAAGGCAAGGTGGTGGATTTGTCTGAGTCAGAATTAGCTGGTCTTGTCCTAGTGACAACCTCCCACTGCACACATGGGACTTGGCCTTCACCAGACAGTAAGCAAACCAATAGACTAGGGGACGCCCATGTAGTAACAGAAGAGAAAAGATAGAAAAGTCCATTAGAGCTAGCTTTCCAGTGCTGAAAATATTTGGATAAAGAGTTTGAGTGTCATTTCCATAGTCACAGTGGAGCCACTGAAATTATGCCAATAAAGCAAACAAAGAGAACCCCAAACAAGAGGAACCCAAAGAGGACCACACCAAGACACATCATAATTAAAAAGCCAAGGGCAAAAGACAAAGAAAGAATCTTAACAGCAGCAAGAGAAAAGCAGTTAGTTTCCTACAAGAGAGGGCCCATACGACTGTCAGCTGATTTCTCAACAGAAAAAAGATAAAGATAAAAAATATGAACAACAAAATGGCAACAAATACATATCTATCAACAATTGAATCTAAAAATCAAATGAATAAAAATTCTGATGAACAAAGTAAACTGGTGAATGGAATAGAATCAGGGGCATGGAAATGGAACAGACTGACAATTCTCAGAGGGAAGGAGTATGGGGGGGTGCAGGAAGAGATTAGACAAAGATCTTATATGCATGTATGCATTACCTATGGACACAGACAATAGGATGGTGAGGGCCTAGGGTGGGGTGGGAACTGGGTGGAGGGGAGCTATGGCGGGAAAAAAGAGGGACCTCTGTAATAATTTCAATAAAGATTAATTTTTTAAAAAAGCATAACAAAATTCTCAAAGCTTAAGCACCAGAGGTGTAAATGAAAAAAATATTTTTAATAAAAATAAAAGTTTTCTATCCACCTGTATCCAAATTTTCTGGAGTGAAGATCCACTCAAATTTTTTTACATATATGATCATTTTTCTACATATAGGACATTAGCAATGAGATACCACTTCACACCTCTTAGAATGGCTATTATCAAAAAGTCAAGAAATAAGTGTTGGCAAAGATGTTGAGAAAAAGGAACCCTTGCACTTTGGTGGACAAGTAAACTGGTACAGCTATTATGGAAAACAGTATGGAGGTTCCCCAAAAAATTAAAAACAGAATACCATGTAATCCAACAATCCCACTTCTGGGTATTTATCCAAAAAAAATCCAAAACACTCATTTGAAAAGCATCCCTATGCTCACTGCAGCATTACTCACAATGCCTTAGATATGGAAACAACCTAAATGCCCATAAATGGATAAATGGATGAAGAAAATATTATATATCTATATATATAAAACCCTAATATACAAATAAACTGAACAGTGGAACAACTGAACAACCAGTCGCTATGACATACGCTGACCATCAGGAGAAACGCACAGAACATGGCAGGCATTGGCTACAGTGGAATGTTGGAGGAGGTGAGTGGGGGCACCAGACCAAGGTGGTTCACTGGTCACTGTCATTGAGGTGAACCTCTGGTGGTTACTGAAAATTCTTTGATCCCACACACTGCAGTCCCGCCGGGCGCTCGCACCTGCTGCCAGTGCTGGCCCCACTCGCACCTGCTGCCGGCGTCCAGTGCAGGTTCTAATCACTCGGCACTGTCAGCAGGTGCGAGCAGCAGCAGCCTCCGCTTGCACCCACTGCTGGCACTGGCCCCAATCACTCAGTACCATCAGCTGGTGCAAGCAGGGCCTATGCCATCAGTGTGTGGAGATACACACACACACACACACACACACACACACACACATCCTAGAGGCCCAGTGCATGAAATTTGTGTGCTCAGGGGGGTCCTTCAACCTGGCCTGTGCCCTCTTGAAGTCCGAGAGCCCTTAGGAGGTGTCCAACTGATGGCTTAAGCCTAAGCCATCAGTTAGACACTGTTAGCACTGCTGCAGAGGCAGGAGAGGCTCCCACC